CACTTCCCTAGCTTTACAGAGCAAAGGTAGTTATACATCAAGACCCGTTTAAAATTAGTAGGTGCGTCAGAGAGAGGTGGTTACAGCAAGATGGGGAAGGTTCTCTGTAGGCCTTAGAGCCTGGTGATATTCTTAGCTTTGAGATTGTGGAAGCCTGAGGTTTGCTTAATTAACAGATTCCAGGAGTTTTCAATCTATTAGTCACAGGCTGTTAGTTGTTAACCAGATACAGAGGTGAGCAAGGAATGCCCATTGCGGGAGGTGGGTGTGGGCTGTTAGATAAGGAGACCTGCAACATTCTGACCTCTCTATCCCCCTGCAGTTCTCTCAGCCAATCAGTTGCTACAGACACAGCGTCTTTCCAGGAATTCTTGTTGCCACCAGCTGTCTGGAATCAGTTTGTCATCTAGAATTGCACACTTGGAGAGGATTCACCAGAAAGGTCTTTTGATTTTTTTTTTTTTTTTTTTTTTTTTAAAAAAAAAAATTTTTTTTTTTTTTTAAGAAAGAAAATTTTCTTTTGGTTGAACCTATGTTTATTGTTTTGACAAGTTCTCAGGAAGCTTATGGGCCTGCTTTTGAGAAATTACAGAGAAAGGCAGAAGGTAAGATGCTGTTTGCCCTGGTGGTTGGGATTTCCAGCCTAGGGAGAGCCATGCTCACCCCAGTGGACTTTACTCCCTGAAGATGCTTCTCCGGAAGGCTCCCAGAAACTCCTCTTTAGGCCTCTGTTTCTTTGCCCTTTTAAGGAGCCTTGACGGCAGCACAAAGTACTTAACAAACCCACTTGTAGAAGGTGTTCTTGCTTTGGTGAGAGAGGACAGAGAAATAACACACAAGACTGTTTTAATTATTTTGTTTTTGTTTTTGATGACTCAGGGGATTAAATAAAGTGAAATTACCCAAACTTTACTTTTTTCCTTGTTGTTTTTGTAGTCTGACTGATCAGGAACTTTCATGTAGACCAGGTTGGTCTTGAACAGGAACAGCCTGCCTCTCTGCCTCTGCCTCTGCCTCTGGGTTTGAAAGCATGCACTACCATGCCTGGGTGTCTTAGTCAGTGTTCTGTTGCTGTGAAGAGACACCATGGCCAAGGCAACTCTTATAAATGAAGATATTTAATTGGGGCTTGCTTAGAGTTTCAGAGGTTCAGCCCACTATCATTGTGGTAGGGGACTTGCCAGCATGCAGGTAGACATGCTGCTGGAGAGGTAGCTGGGAGTTCTGCAACTGGAACCCCAGGCAGCAGGAAGGGAAGCACTGGGCCTGGTTTGGGCTTTTGAAACCCCAAAGTTCACCCCAATGACACACTTCTTCCAACAAGGCCACGCCTCCTAATCCCTCTCAAGTAGTGCCACTCCCTGATGACCAAGCATTCAAACTTATGGGTCATTCTATTCAAACCACCACACCTGGCTCTTTGTTTGTTTTCTTGTTTTGATGTTTTGAGACAGGGTTTCTCGAAAACAGACAGCTTTGGGAGTCTGTCTTGGGACTAGCTCTTGTAGACCAGGCTGGTCTTGAACTCACAGAGATCCTCCTGCCTCTGCCTCCCGAGTGCTGGGATTAAAGGTGTGCACCACCAATGCCCGGCTTACTTGGCTCTTTTTTTTTTTTTTTTAGACATGGTTTTATAGTGGTCACAGTGGTGGGGAAGTGGCTGTGGGTGGTAAGTGTATTCACGCTTTAATGCTTCTCGACCTTCCTAAGGCTGTGACTCTGCAATACAGCTCCTTATGTGGTGGTGACCCCCAACCATAAAATTATTTTTGTGGCTACTTCATAACTGTAATTTTGCTACTGTTATGAATCGTAATGTAAAACCTGTGTTTTCTGATGGTTTTGTCAATCCCTGTGAAAGTGCCATTGGACCTCAAAGGGATTGAGACCCACGGATTGAGAACCACTGTTTTAAAGACCGTGTGGACAGTGAATGCATTCACTGTTTAGACCAGCATAGCAAGGAAAGTCTATCCGGTATATTGCAAGGAGCAGCAGCCCGGGCAGTAACAAGAGAACTGCTGGCAGCTTTGTTGTAGTTTTTGCGAAGTCACCAAGCAAATAGGCTGTCCCAGTGATGCCATGAAGAACCAAATAAACAGAACCACCCCCGACATACAGATGAGAGAAACAGCCCTGAACAGGGACCACGAAAAGCCCCAGAAGTCAGTGGGCATCATATTGAAAGAGGACGTGCTTCAGCCTTGTGTACGACAGCAATCCTGCTAGCGTTTCTGTGGTTTTTCTTATTTTTCAAAAACTCAAGTTGAAAAGTCACCCCAAGACACTTGCTGTAGTGACAGGAACTGTCTCGCCTAAAAACACTTCCTGTCAGCTCGTGTGCCTGGTTCATCTGAGTTCTCCCACTATCTGTTAATAGCTGTGGAAGACGTCATGGCAGAGTCCAGATAGATCTGAGCTATGGAGACATTTCGGCACAGTTCTGCTCACATTTGACACAGACATCTCTGGGGTCAACAGGGTCTATGAGTGCACACCCACGCCAGAGAACAACCTTAGATATGGTTCCTCAGGTGCTGTCCACCTTTTCCAAGCAGGGTCTCTCACTGGCTGGCTCAGAACTCCACAAGTAGGTTTTGCTGGCTGCCTGTCTTTGCTTCATTAGTGCTGGGATTATAAATTGGCTACCAGGGCTGCAGAGATGGCTCAGCCATTAAAGGCTAGGCTCACAACCCAAAATAAATGCACTAACACCCCAGACTTTTTTTGGTGTGTGGGGGTGGGGCAGGGTCTAATGTAGCCTCAGGCAGACCTTGAACTCCTGATCCTCCAGCTTTTACCTCTTGGGTGTAAAGGTTACACATGTACACTACTACACCAGGAGTTGAACTTGAGGCTTTTTTTGTTTTGTTTTCCTGACCTTCTTTTTTTATTATTTAAGTAACGTTTATTTTACATACCAGGGAGTTTCCCCTCCCTCCTCTCTTCTAGTCCCCTCCCCTTCCCCATCTACCCTCCTCACCCACTCCTCCAGAGAAGCTCCTCAGCTGCAGAATGGTTAAGGAAAATGTGGTGCATTTACGCCGTGGAGTACTCACTACTCATTCTCTTTCAATATGATGGGTTCAGGAGTACTTACTACTCAGCTGCAAAATGATGGCCTCATGAAATTTGCAGGCAAATGGATGGAACTTGGGACTTCTAAAGTACTCTATCAGTACCAGAGCCGAAGCCTTAGTGGTTTTCTTTTTTTTTTTTATTAATTTATTTAAATTAGAAACAATCTGATTTTACAAACCAATCCCAGTTCCCCCTCCCTCCCTCCCTCCTGGTCCACCCCCCCCAACTCCACATCCCACCCCTATCCACTCCCCAGGGACGGTGAGGCCTCCAATGGGGGATCTTCAAAGTCTGTCACATCATTTGGGGCAGGACCTAGGCCTCCCCTGTGTATCTAGGCTGAGAGAGTGTCCCTCCATAGGGAATGGGCTCCCAAAGCCTATTCGTAAACTAGGGATAAATACTGGTTGCACTGCCAGGGGCCCCATAGACTGCCCAGGCCTCCTAACTGACATCTACATTCAGGGGGCCTGGTTTGGTCCTGTGCTTGCTCCCCAGCTGTCAGACTGGGGTCGTGACCTCACACTTGCTCAGGTTAGCTGTTTCAGTGTTTGTTTTTTGTTGTTAAATGTGGGTTCAGGAGATCAAAGCCAGGGCCCTGCTTGCTTGACAACTGAGCTATCTCCCAGCCCTCAACATGATTTAAAGGTGTCTGTACCTGTTGGTCCTTTTAATGGCTACATATTTATTTTAGTGTGTTCTAGAATAAACAAGCCCATTCTGGTGGCACCTTTTGCCAGAGCTCATTACTAAACCTGAGGCCATGTTTCATTTGATCATTCTAGTAGCTGAAAGTCATGGGTGGACACTGTGGTTCCCAGATCTGAAGAGATGGGTCTCTCTTGCCACCCTGTCCTGGTGACCAAGGACAAGTGTTTTTTTTTTTTTTTTTTTTTTTTTTTTTTTTTTTTTTTTTTGACCAATATGACTGCCTGAGCAGCTCCGTGAGCAGGAGAGCTTTCCCAGCTCCGAGGTTCTGCGTGTGTCCCCTATCAGTCATATTCAACAGTAGCTAGGGTGCTGCACCTTTTAATCTGGTCTTCAACATTAGCTCTGAAGAGATAGCACAGCAGGTAAGAGCCACACAGCTCTTGCAGGGGACCCAAGAGCATAACTGCCTAAACGCCAGCTATAGGGGATTTGAAGTCTTTACCCTACACAGACACACACACATACACATAATTAAAAATAAAAATAAGCCAGGCAGTAGTGGGGTACGCCTTCAATCCAGGCATCTGGGAGGCAGAGGCAGGTGGATCCCTGTGACTTCAAGGCCAGTGTCTTGTTTACAGAATGAGTTTCAGGACAGCCAGGGCTACACAGAGAAACCCTGTCTTGGAAAACCAACCAACCAACCAACCAAATAATAAAAATAAATCTTTAAAAAGAAAAATTAGCTTTAGGCCAGTGAGATGTAGCAGTGGCAAAGAAAGGCTCCTGCTGCCAAGATTGAACCCTAAATTTTATCCTTGGGACCTGTAGGGTTGAAGGAGAGAACTCGCTCCTGCAAGTTGTCCTCAAACCTCACCATGTACACTGTGGTACATGTGTTTTGTTTTTAAGATTTATTTATTTATTATATATACAACATTCTGCCTGCATGTATCCCTGCAGGCCAGAAGAGGATACCAGATCTTATTATAGATGGTTGTGAGCCACTATGTGGTTGTTGGGAATTGAACTCAGGACCTCTGGAAGAGCAGTCCGTGCTCTTAACCTCTGAGCCAGCTCTCCAGCCCCTGTGGCACACTTGTATACCCACCCCCATACACAAACACACATACATGGGCACACATACTAAACAAAAAATGTAATTTAAAAAAGCTACCTTTACAAATTTGACACATTCTTAACATTTAGCAATTTATTTATACATTCTGTAAGAAAATAAAACCTATGAGGACTAAAGAGACCTCGGAGCTCATCAGCAGTCACAGCACTCTGCAAGTATCCAGTGTAATTGTAACAAGCCATTAGGAGGTAATTTAACTAAGATATAAAAACATTAGTTAAATACAATTCTGGGGCAATATACATTATAGCTACAACTGCTTTTTACAGTGGGATTCATCCTGGTGTGTTTTCTTCTCCATTATCCGAAGAGGAAGTCACTGTGTGGTCCTGGATCTCCAGGCTATGAAACTGAAGTATGTGTTTCCAGCGTAGCAAATGGTGACCAGGAAGGCGAAGAACTGTGGGGGAGGGGAGCATGGCAGAGGGGGCATTAGCACACTTCCAGATTAGAAAATTATCGTTCCTCCTCCACTGTGTCAGGTCAGGCTGTCCTGGACTCTAGGCTTCCTCCTCTGAGCCTACTTTATTGCATCAATAACCTTTTACTTCAGGGAGGGGTGACCAGTGTACCTCTAATGGAGCTGTGTACCTCTAATCTAGTGCAGGTGACCTTAGACAGGGCTCAGCTTCCAGTGTCTGCCATCACTTGGAAGAAATGAAGTGAGGAAGCCACGGCAATGGACACCCGGGCATTACGTGTCTGTGAATCTCAAATCTCAATTTGCAAATCGTGTTTAAAGTTAGGAGGGACCAGGGGGACAGCTCAGGGAGGGTGAGCTTGTGCCAGTTGCAGAAAAGGACGTCGTCACTGTTGCTTCAAGATTCACCCTGTCCTGCAAAGCCCCCAACCGTGTGCTTTGCCTTCGGCCATCACCCTCCTGAGCTGGCCATTGGTCCTCATCTTCTGCAGGGGGGCTCAGAGCCTTTTTAGAAGGGCAGCTACTGTCACACTCTGGCTCCTCCATGCTGTGAGCCCAGCCTGTAAGTTTTAATGGCTTGTGGGCCAACCAGTCAACTGCTCTATTTTGTCGATGTTGCAAGTGGCCCTTTTTCTCTACAGCTAACTTTGAGTGCCTCTCTCATCCCGAAGAGGCCTTGGGGAAGTTTCAGGAGGACTACGGTATTTGGAGGACTCACTCACCGAGGAGGCTGCCCAGCTGTTGAAGTTGTGACTGTCCTTCTCTGGGGAGACAGAAGATGCGTCCACTACGGCGGCTGAGAGGTACAAGAGGAAGGCACTGCCATTAAAGCACAGGCCCTGTGAAGAGGGGCAGAGTGTTGAGGGGAGGGGACCGCACAAAAGGCAGGATCTAGTGTGCGAGGGAACCAGTGAACCGCTAGGGAAAGCCAAGGGGAGGCGAGCATGTCACTGCAGCACCCGTCCAGGGTGCCACATGTCCCCAGACTGCAGATCGTCCCTTTAGTCATCACTTTTACTCCACTGGTTCCTGGTCTCCTGTTCCTGTGAACCTCAGCATGGTGATCCTCGTGGAGGGAGGCAGGCCACAGGAGGGGCAGCCGTACAGTGCTGTCTGCCTCACCCCAGGCGTGGCCATCTAGCCCAGAGACTTTTCCTGGGCTCCTAATCCCAGAGACTTTTCCTGGGCTCCTAATCCCAGGGGAGGGGCAGTTAGCTGAAGCTACTTCCTAATTGTTTGTATGCATGTATGTTAGGGGGACGGGCATGTAGCATAGGCGGGCCTTGAATTTCTGATCCTCCTACCTTTATCTCCTGAGGGCCATGATGCCAAGGGTGTATCGCCACCGCCACCAGCCTCACGGATACTTCTTAAAGTGAGAGAGAGGGAGGGAGGGAGGGGGGGAGCAGACAACATCAGAGCCCTTTGAGAGCTGTTGTCACCTTGGCTTCCCTGTTCTTCTTTACTCTTTAATAATGGAGATTTGAAAAGACAAGCGGGGAACACTGTAGATGTAATTCTTAGCTGACAATTGTTCTTATTATATATAATTTTACTATGTTAGAGTAAACCCTTTCCCTTTTATTTAGCCAAAGTGAGGGGAAACGTTTGCAGAATGTTTGTTTACACTGTGTTTGGTTTGATAAAGAGCTGAATGGCCAGTAGCTAGGCAGGAGAGAATAGGTGGGACTTCCAGGGACAGAGAGGGACTCAGGATGAATCTAGGCATATAGGAGACACCAGGGAAGAAGCCGGACATCTGGTAGGGAGGAGGGGCAACCAAGCCATGTGACAGAATGTAGATTATAAGAGCTAGTTGGGGAAAAGCGTAAACTAAGGCCAAGCTTTCATAATTAATAACAATAAGCCTCAGTGTCATTATTTGTGAGCTGCCAGCCCCAAAGGAAAGTCAGACTATACAATTGATACTCAGTTACATTTGGACTCTAGGACACTGTGTGGGAAGAGGGAGTAGGAAGAGAGGTGCCAACAGCCACTCAAGGAGAAAGAGGGGTGCACCCTCCTGACAGGGCTACCATGCCTGCCATCTTTCTCTTAGGAAGTCAGAGATGAAGGAAAGGAGTCCGGAAAAGGAAGGAAGCAACCTTCTCCTTAGTTGGGAGAAAAGGTACACAGAATTTTTTGTTTTGGTTTTTCGAGACAGGGTTTCTCTGTGGCTTTGGAGGCTGTCCTGGAACTAGCTCTTGTAGACCAGGCTAGTCTCGAACTCACAGAGATCCACCTGCCTCTGCCTCCCGAGTGATAGGATTAAAGGCGTGCGCCACCAACGCCCGACGTTTTATTTTATTTTTATTTTTTTGGTAGTACACAGAATTTTCCAGACAGATGCCAGAGTCCTGAGGCAAGCTGCAACCTCTGTCCCCATCTTAACCATGTGTGCACACTGGCCCTGGTCATCTGCAAGGAGATAATCTAAGTCATGTCAGCTATGAAAGAGTCCAAAAGAATTTACAATGAAAAGCTGGGCTGCATGATGGAATTGTTCTTGCAGTACTCAGGGCAGGGTACTAGGCACCAGAGAGAGACATCCTGCACTCCGGCTCAGTCACAGTGTCTAATCTGGGCTTTTACCTGAGAACAGCTGTCTGTGTCGAGAAAGTCTTCAAGCTGTACAACAAAGCTAGTGTGACCTCTATCTAAACAGGTCTCTACTGACTTCCTTCCAAAGGACCTTCCTCCCCTGTTCTGTCTGCAAATCTATCCCAAGTTTATGAGTAACCACAGGAACCTTTCTTGTGATTTATTAGATAATGGGCAGACTTCAACAAGTCTCACTGCGTCAGCCACTTACGGAAACTAAGCTTAGAGGATCACGGACTGGTGTCCAATGTCATGCACACCCGAGAGCCAGGTAGACATTTCATCTGTGAGGAAAAAATCTCTTCCTCTTGGGCAGCCTCACTCTGGGGTTCTTTCCAACAAGGCCAGTGCCATTAGGAGGGTAATCAAGAGTACTCACTCACTTTTTGCCTTGAACAAGTCTGGGAACTTGAACACAGGGAAGAATTAGGTTTGTGACATTTTATGAAGGTGACATGGCCCTCAAGTGAGAAGCTGATAGTTTACATTGACAAAAATAGTTCAATTTTAAAAGTTGCAAGCAAAAACGAATACTATCTTACGTATTTTATTCTTTCAGAAAAAAATTAGTACATGCTGCTTTATAAATTACCTTGTCATTTAAGCTTAGAAAGAAAGATTAGAGGGAGCAAGTCCTGTACCCCTGGATGGTTCCTTGTGACTGGTGGTTGTGTGTGTCCAGGGACACATATTCACCATTTGTGAAATGACAGACTTCTCACCTTTTAAAAAAAATGATTTGAGGCCAGGTGTGTTGGCGCACGCCTTTAATCCCAGCATCTGGGAGGCAGAGGCAGGGGTATCTCTGTGAGTTTGAGGCCAGCCTGGTCTACACAATGAGTTACAGGCCAGCCAAAGGCTACATTCTGAGACCCTGTCTCAAACAAAACAAAACAAAACTCTTTTTCATGGCGCCTAAGATGAAGCCAAGTATCTATTTCTCAGCCACCGGCCATCAGAAACTCATCGAAATGGACACAAGCTTCTTACTTCCTGTGAGAAGCACATGCTCAAAAGTGGAAGGGTGGAGGCTTATGTGGTCCAAATCAGAGATGGGAATGACAAACAGGGCTTTCCTATGAAGCAAGGCGCCGTGACTGACCCAGAGCAGAGTACACCTGCTGAGGAGTCAGAGACATTCTTGTTCTAGATCAAGAACTGAGGAGAGGAAGGTCTGCTCAACATGCGTTGTGGATGCCAGTCTCAGATTTCTCAACTTGGTAATTTTAGGAGAATGACAAGCATGTCCTAGACTGAGGGACACCACTGTGACTTGTTGGATGGGACTCAAGAGAGCTGGAAGAATCCAAAAGCTTTCCAGTCTCTCTAAAGAAGATGATGTCCCCAGTATGTTGTCAGAAAGCCTTACACAAAGGTCAGAAGCCCAGGACCAACGCAAACGCCAGCATACGGCTCTGAAGAGACAATGCTGCAGGAGGTGGCTGCAGAACGTGCTGAACTTTGGACCAAAAGATGAAGGACAGCAAAGAACAACACCAGGGAGAGAGTGCCAAGAGATGTCTGCTGTCCTCACTGAGAGCTTCTTCCTCTCAAGTCTGAGTCTAGTCAAAATAAGTCTTTAACTGTAGCTAATCAATGATCAGGCTTGAATCTTAAAAACAAAACAAAACAAAAAACTGGGTGGTGGTGGCCCACACCTTTAATCCCAGCACTCAGGAGGCAGAGGCAGGCTGATCTGAATTTGAGGTCAGCCTGGTCTACTGAGTGAGTTCCAGGACAGCCAGGGCTGCAGAGAGGAAACCCTGTCTCAAAAAACAAAACAAAACAAAACAAAAACAAATCAAAAAATTAATTTTTTAAAAATGGAATTTATGCAAATGGTAACTAAACAGCATCCAATCTGGACAGAATAACCTTAAGTAAAGAGACGGTGTCCCTACGAGGATGTAGCTCAGTTGGTAGAATGTATGCAGCATGGCCTCCACCCCTAGCCCTGGATAACCTAGGTGTCATGGTGCACTCTGGAGGTGAGGGCGGGGACACAGAGGTTCTCAGCCACACAGTTACAGACTAGCCTGGGATGTGAGACCCTGTCTCAAAACCAAGCAACAATGAAACAAAGAAACTAGCTCCTCAGATGACTCCAGAGGAGAAATGGGCCTGGGGAGGTGGGCAGAGGATGGTGTCAGAGCATCATGCTGCCCTGCTGCTGTGAAGGGCCAGGAGTACCTCAGACACACCAGCCCCTCCAGGAGTGGCTCAGACACACCAGCCCCTCCAGCTCCTGCTGATCTCAGTCATCCCTGTGCTCAGTGTGAGCGGCAGAGAGCATGGAACTTTACAAAGGCTGCCAGCTGCTCTCTGTGGAGGGGAGGAGTGGAGGGAGGCCATGGTTCCCTCCTGAAATTCCATCCTGCTTTGCTTTTGAAAGCTCTCAGTATTCTCTGGGATAAAGGCAAGCACAGATAAAAGCTTGGCTGGCCGGCCGCTCTTTGTTTAGGCTCCAGCCCGTGGACCTGGGTTTAAGACGTTCATCTTCTGAGGACATCTATCCCTCCACAGGAGAGAGAAAGATCATCCGGTGTCTGGGCGGGGTCCTGCAGGCCAGAACTAGACACCAATTTCAGAAGAGAGTTTGTAAGATGTGACGGAGCCACCTTCCCACCCATACCGGGGGAGACTTTAGCTCCAAACAGCCAGGTCACCACCCATGCCCGGGGTTGGAGACATGGCTCACAGGGTAAGAGCACACACAGCTCTTCCAGAGGACTAGGGTTTAGTTCCTGGCATCCCCCTGACAACTCACAACCACCTGCAACTCCAGGTCCAGAGGACCTGGTGCCTCTTCTGACCTCCCTGAGCTCCTGCAAGCATACATATAAGTATATGTATTTAAAAATGTTCCTTGTAGCTGAGGTCAATAAATCAACAAGGAAGAGACAAACCAAAGATAAGGGATACTCAGGCGTACACTCTCTCTCTGGTGTGTGTGTCAGAGGACAGTTTTCAAGAATTGGTTCTCTTCATCCACTGTGTGCAACCCAGGGATTAAACTCAGGTTGGCAGTTTTGGTGGCAAATACCTTTCTTTACCTGCTGAGCCATCTTGCCACTCATTGCAGCTTTGTACACGGGTCCAGGAGACACAAACTTAGGCCCTCAGGTTTGTATGGCAAACGCTTTGCCAACTGAACCATCTTAGCTCGTGGCTTAAGCTTTTCTTCTTCTTTGTGATAGGGTTTCAAATTAAAGGCACAAGCCATCATGCCCAGCTTGCTTTTCTTCTTTCAAAGAAGATCAACTTTTATCTAATGTATATGAGTGTTTGCTTGAATATACATCTGTGCGTCATGTGTGTGCAGCGCTCCTGGAGGCCTGAAGAGGGCGTCAGATCACCCGGACCTGGAGTCAGAGACAGTTCTCAGTGGCCACAGTGGGTGCTGGGAACTGAGCCTTGGTCCTCTAAAGGAGCAGCAAATGCTTTTAACCTCCGAGTCATCTTTCCAACCCCCAGACTTAAGTTTTAAACTGGCTTGATTATACTCAGGTATGCATAGTATTTTCTAGGGTTGATTTTTTTTTTTAATTATTTTGTGCATGTGCTCATGTCAGGCTGTGAATGTGAGTAAAAGTCAGAGGACAACTTTTGGGAATTGGTTCACCCATCCCACCATCTGGGTGCCAGGGATCAAACTCAGAAAATCAGTCTTGCAGGCAAGACTGTGTGCTGAGCCATCTAGTCAGCTTTGGTTTTGGTACGAGTCTCCCTCTGTAGCCCAGGCTAGCCTGGAACTGGAGGCCATCTTTTTGCCTTAGCCTCCTGGATGTTGGGACTGATTCACTACTTGCTTTCCAATTTTGAAGACAAAAAGGGGCTTACAGGCCACCTAACACAAGCCCTCCAGGTATTAGTAGGAATACCAGGTCTGAAGACGGTAGGAGAAGCCCTGAGATGATGGACAGTTCTCTTTGGGACATGGGACCCAAAATAAGTAACCTGAGAGTTTGTTCTTTCATGGAACAGGCTGAGCAGTCTGGCTCTCCTTCCAGCCCAGGAACACGGGTCATGTCCAAGAACACACCCCATCTCAAAGGCATGACCCAGAGGCCAGACACACATGTCCCTTTCTGTTGCAGTAGCTACGTCCAGGCATAAGACTCACCTAGTGGCAGGTGGCTGGGAACTGTCTAGTCAGACAGAACGCTCTAGACTAGAGAAGAAAATAGTATGGAGGGAGGAGGAGCAGCCCCAGCCCTGGTGCTGAGCCCACACTCTCAGGCTGCTGAGAGGGACAGAGCTGGGTGACCTGGCTCACTTGCAGGCATTCCCCAAACCTGCCCGTATTTAAGAAAGCATGGTCACCAGCTCTGACAGCAAGCACAAACATAACCTCAGCTGCCGGAAGAGAATTTCTTTTCTTTCCTTTTTTATATATTTACTAATTTTTATTTAGTAAATATTTAGTGACTAGGCTTCCTGTAGCCTGGGCTGGTATCCAACTCATTTATCTGAGAAGCCTTCCACCTCCAGCCTCCATGGGGTTGGGATCACAGGTATGCACCACGCCCAGTTTATGTGGAGTTGGGGATCGAACCCAAGGCTTCACACACCCTAAGCAAACACTCTACCCACTGAACTATTTGCCCAGCCCCTTGCTTGGGGTCACTTTCAGAACGAGATACAAATACTTGGACTCTGAGGGCAGCTCAGAAAGAAGAGGGGCAGGTGTGCTTTGAACAATGTGTGAAAGCCTGTCAATGTAACCTCGGGTCACAACTCCGAGGAGGTTGACTTTCAGGTCATCGAGTCAGAAGTGGGTGTGTGTGTGTGTGAGTGTGTGAGTGTGTGTGTGTGTGTG